CTTGCAGAAAGCAAGGCTCCTGGCAGGTGTTCAGCACCACTACTGTCTTTGCTGGCATTGTCACAGCGAGCAGCATCCTGTCCCAAGACACTGATAATTGCAGATGTGGAATTCTTCAGGCTTTGCCCAGAGCTGCTGTAGAGGACACAGCTATCTATCTGCACTTTGCAAGGCAGGTGCCTCCTTCTGCCTGTCCCAATGTTTAGCACAAGGCAGCAACAGCCCCTAGCACAGCACATAGTGTTTCAAGGCAAGCACAATTTTCCTTTGTCCAGCATCTGTAGCAACTGCACCCACTGCTTTCCTTCTAAATTATATCCAGAAGAGCTCACTTTACCTTTATAGGTACATTAAAAATTATTTATTGAGCAATTGAGGTTGAAAGCAAACGGTTAGAAATGGAAGATATATTGCTGAAGTATTAAAGTATAGTCCTGGTCTAGCTTAAAAGATGGATGACTTCAGATGAGTCATCTCAGCTGTTTTTATCTTGGGGTCCCTTATTTTTGTTCCAGCTGTCAGAGCTGCAAGTTCAGCTCTCAAGTTATGTGGAAGTGCTGCCTTCAATCTATCTCCTTTCCTCTCATCCCTACTCCACTCTTTAAATCTTTCTGGACTAAGACGCTGGCATAAGATTGTGAATGTCCTGTTTAGTTCTCCTTACCAAGTGGCAGTCTTGGGTACTTAATGACTATTTTACTTTCCTGTTTAATACTAAATTGGCTGGGCATGGGGGAGAGGCAGTGCGTAAACCAGGCAAATACTGTTTATGTTCCTTCTGTAGCTGCTCTTTGGACACCTATGGGTCATTAATTCCTTTGTTCCCAGCGAACCTGCCAGCTGGTGGCTCTCCTGCCCAGTTTGAGCTGATCTCTTCATGTGGGCTGCTGACCTGTTCCCACTGAGCCCCACTACAGGATGTGCTCAGGAGAGATCAGGACCTTGGGACATCACTAGCTCTCTGCTGAGACTGTAATTGATGGAAGTGATACAGCCACGATACAGAGGAACAGGAGTTCCATCTTTCCTCCCACATTACCTTCCACGTATTGTTTGTATTAAATGGAAGAGTAATATTGTCTCTTTGGTGGCTCTTCTTGTGTACCTACGGTGAAGCACATGCTTAACTACTTTGCTGGAGTTAAGTCACATTGGGCCAAAGACAGCAGGTCTTTGCCCAGCAGGTGGATGCCACTGCTGAAGAAGGGCTAAGAGCTAAGCTGTGACTATAGATCCATCACGCAGAAGCCCGAAGTGTTACTGCAGCCTCCAAGAAACAGCCTCTAATGACAGAAAGCAAATCAGCATCATCTTGTGACGCTGTTGTTCCTGTAGGTTATAAATTTTAAAAAAAGACAGGCTGAGGAATGGAGCATGGAAATCCCTGCTGATCAGGAGCAAGACTATTTTTCTCCTTTAAGAACATTTGCTCAGCTTTTTGGTTTCCAGTGTTTTCAGTTGCCATATCAACCTGAGAAATTTGCCTGGCAATTGACAGTATATTTTTCAACAGAAGATTTAAAAATTTAGTTGCATCAGCTCCAGTATCTCATTGCTGGGATTTCATTTTATCTTATTTTGCTTTATTCTTAGTACTTGTTTTCCAAGACACATCAGCAGATGGACAAGGATACCCACAGTACCTCTGACCAGGCGCATCTCAGGTTCAGAAATCTGCATGTAGAAGCTAGGTGCCAGGTCAAAATGTGGCAAAAGCAGGGATAAAGCCTGTGGGTCACATCCTTCTCAGGGAACAGGCTAGGAAAGGCCACAAGAGTTGGCAGAATCACTTTGGCTTAAGTTAAGTGGCAATTTCAGGTTTTATGTTGCTCTGAGGGTGCGGCACAGTGGAGGGGAGGGAGGTTCCTCTTGGCTTTGCCATTAAACAGTGAGTTGTTTTTTGGAGTACACGTCTCCCCTCATCTCCCTCCCAGCACCATCAGGGTGGGGAGCCTGCACCTGTGCCAATGGTAGTCTGTGACCTCTGTGTCCTGCTGTCCATCCATCCATGTCCTCTCTCCATCCCACCCCTGACTGTTCATGGGTCACTGGTGTAAATGAGGAGAGAATCTGTCCAGTGCAGATGAACCTGCAGGGACTTTTCAATGGTGAATATACTGTTTGGCTTGTTGTGGGATTTTTTTTCTTTAAAAGGAATGAGAATGGAAAACAAGAAAGTCAAAAAGCCCTGAATCTTTATCTTTTCTAAGTGGAGACACCGCCACAGCAGGACATAATGGCTTGCTGTGGTGGTGGTTTGCCTGAGAGCCTGGAGATTTATGTAATGAGAAACACAATTCCTGCAAAGAACATTGTTAAACCTTTTCAAAATTTCAGCTATAAGCCATTTTATTGCTAATAATATGGCTAGATTCTCCTTTTGAAGAATCTGGGAATGTTTGACAAGAGGGGAAAATGGAGAGGACTTGAGGCACCATAATCTGTATTTTCCATTTACCTTGCTTGAAGCTTGAACAACACATGTGCCACAAATGATTTGTTTATTCCTAAGCGCCCCCAAGGAGCCCAGTCTCTATTCTCAGGCATATAATGGCTATTCAAATGAAAGCTTTAATAGATTGTTGCAGATCTGATATCAATGCAGTGAGAGAAAGAGATATGCAAATATTCAAAATTAAACAAACTAGCTCCTGCCCTTTGCCTTTGGAGGTGCAGTCTCAAATCTGGATCGTGTCACCAATGCAACGAGTCTGTTAGACTCAGCTCTCTGGGGAGCTAGATCCTTTTTCTCTTTTTTCCAGCTTGTCTCACAAAACTGTCACATTGTTTGAAATATTTGCTGTCTGTAATACTCAAGACTGAGGAAAGCCCCAACCAGGGCTGAAACACATGATGTATTCTTAGTTGGGACTGTTGGTGGGAGAAGCTCCTGCTGTGCTGGTTTACTCTGTGTCTTCTTAGACGAGGGCCTCTAACTTCAATGCCTTCCCTGGGCATTTCCCCACACTTGACAAACAATTCAGGAAGAGTGACAGTTGCTTTCCGTGAATAGAGGTGTAGTTGTTTGGGGGATACAGCCTAAACAAAATTTGGTTTTGTCCACACTGGAAAACAAAACAGGGGCTCCACTGTTCTTGACATAGCCCCCATTCGTCTTCCTCTTCTCACGATCTGTGCAAGAGCTGGGCCCAAAAACCACTTCAGAAATGTAAAAACAACGTCATCCACCTAGCCGTTGAACCCATGCCAGCAGCTACTGTGTGCTCTGAACAGCAGGTAAAAATAATAATTTTACATCAAAAATACCATAAAATTTTCCGTGTCTTCTAGGCTCTTGTAAAACTGCTATTATCGTGTCCAACCCCCAGGGCTTTTCATATAATTATCAATTATGCTTTGTGGATTTTAAAAAAGGCAGCGTCTCAAACACAGGCCAGGCTAGGGATTGCCCAAGCACCAGTGGTACTTTGGTGTGCCTGGCTGGCAGGAGGGCCTTGCTCACCCCACCACAGATGTGGGCTCCTGGCTCGGGGACAGCAATCCCCAGAGTATCGCTGAGCCTCTCTTGTCCTCCTGTTTCCTGTGCTCTGATCACAGGAGCTTTGAAGCAAGGCTTGCCTCTTGCTCCATCAATGCTGCTGGTGAACTGAAGGTTCCTGGTAATAATGAGCAGGATTTGGGATTTGTAAATTCCTAGAGATTCCCCATTTGGCGTAGGGCCATCCTGCTTAATAACCTCAAACCTGTGGGCAATAGCTTGCTGTTCTCTACTTGTGCCCTATTAGAATTAATCCATGAATCTCCAGACATCTAGAAAACACAAACTACAGTATGAGCAATTAGAAAAGAGAGCCCAGTGCCTTCTCAGGAGGAGGCAGGAGGAACTTTGCTTTGGTTAAGTCTGTGGACAGTCTGCTGGCTGCAATAGGGACCAGCATACGTCAGAGGTGACGTGGGAAGCTGGGTTTGCACTCTTGATATATTGCTTCATTAATGTGAGCCAAGGCTGGGTGCCTTGGGTTTTGGGGCTGGAAGATCTGATGACAGCAGCTGGGGAAGAGGCCTTCAGGAAATAAAGTCTCAGCTTTAATTTAGCTAGCCATTTATTTCAGAACCAAGGAGGTAAATGACCGATAGCCCAAATGATAGAGCAGAGATCTTTGCATGCAGATACGAGCAATATCATACAGAAATGTTCCTCAAAACCATTTCATGACAGTAGTTGGATCCATAGCCAAATATCTGACTGTGGCTAGACAGTTGGTTTCTACTTGGAATTAAAGGTGATCTCTGAAAAACTTGGCTGTGTTTAAACATGAACTGGGCTGTAAGCTTCTTATGGGCTGTGGCTACAAAAAAAAAAAAAAAAAGGCTGACTCACAGTAGGAGAGTATTGGGTTGGTACATCCCTGTGAAACCCTCCCTGGTCTCTGAAGGTGCCCAGCATCTTGCTTGAGATCCCAAGCACCCAGCACTCCCTTAGAGTTCTCCTCGCAGTGTGGGAGGTAAATATTTCTGAAAGACTGGCTTAAGGGCTTTAGATGAGAGGTGTTTCTTTTGGCCTGTCAGTAGCAGAGAAGAAAGAAAATGGACTTCTCCGGAGTTTTTCCAAAATGCATGCCTGATTCAGGCGTGCCCAGTTTCCTCAGAAGTGTGAGTTCCTGATCCCAACAGATACTAAATTAGATTTCCCTAATACCATTGCCAACCCCATCGTTTCTGCATAGAGTCCTCCCTGAGCAGCACATGGAAGCAGATTTGTATAAGAATTTTCCAATTAAACATTTTTCTAATTTGAAAATATTAATTAAAAACTGATACTTCTTGAGGGAAACTCTTGGTTTTGGCATATCTCATTTTCAGTTTAAACCATCTTGACTTAGTCAGCATTTTATAATGAAAGATATTCTTTTTCAAATAAAAGCATATGATTCTATAGGAAAAAATATAGTAAGGAAAATTAATATTTAAGCATGAAATAATTCAGAAATGCTTCATTAAGATCCAAGCAGCCTCTAATCAATTTTTGTTTCTTTCAGATTACTGGTTTCAGAAATTGAGATTACCATTTCTGGTCCTATTTAAGACTGAGGGAGAAATGAGAAATTCTGAAATCTTTTCAAGACTGGAAAATAGCTTTCTACAAGTTCCCCTCAAATGAGATTGCAGAAATTCTTCTTTCTCCTACCCTGGCTCTGTTACCACGCAATTCTCTTCATGCTTGTCTCCAAGACCAAATCTGAGCCAGCCTGAGATTTGTGCTAACGGTGAGTGCCTGCCTTTTTTTTTTTTTCTTTAAATAAAACAATTTCCTAAGGCATTGAAGTGGGCCTGATAAAAAGCGGCTTTTAAAATTCATTTTAGTAAATAGTTTGAAACCAGACCATAAAGCCTCATAACTGTAGGTTTGCCCTTAATTGTACCTCACTGACAGCCCATTTTCCTTCTCCTTTGCAACCACTCTCCTTTTTCTTTAATAGCAAAACATATTGTATGCTACTTTTGAAAGATTTGTGGGTTTTCACACAAATTGAGCAAGATCTGTAGGTAAACAGTGTCACCTAGTGGATGGATGTCATCAACTTTTCCGAACTGTGGAAGAAGTTTGTCTGCGTGCTTTTTCCATTTTTTTCCCAGAATTTCAAAATATACAAAATTTTAAATTGGCAAAGGCCCTGTACTGAAAATTGGGATTGTTCCCAAAACACTGCAAAACTAAACACGCATAATGTGGTGGGCAGCAGCGGGCTGGTATATGTAAGTGATGTGCACGGGCATGTTTTTTGAGAGAGGCTCTCTGCTGCTGTCACCCAGAGCAGGCAGCTGTAGTCCAACATTTATACCCAGGTCTTACATTGACATGGATTTGGTTAAAGCAATTAGCCAGAACACTTTGAAGAATGTATAAGACACGTTAGAATTGTAGTCAAAATGATAACTATCTAATTTTCATAGCTGAGGAAATCTGAACTCTAGCACTTAATTACCTTCCAAATAAAAAGAAAAAATATTGATTGATTTTTATGGCAGGTTGTTCTGCTAAGTTTGTATTTGGCCTGTTTTCTTCATTTTTGTCAAGTATGAAATGAATATTCTGTCATTCTTCTCCAAAAGGGTGAAAGCGATTACTGTGAAAAGGCCAGGGAGCTCTGTATGCAGGCAAGCTCAAATATGCTGCAAGTTGGGACACTTTCTCACCTGAGTATACATTCTGTTTCCAAAACAAACACTGGCATAACTGTATTTACTCTGTTAGATGCAGTCTCCCTTCAAACTATTTCAGTTTTCCTTTTTGTACTAGTCTTCTTGGACCAGTTCCCACTGACTGAATCAGTGGAAGGCACCGTCCCCTAATGGTCCTCACTGTGGACATTGGCTGGTATGGGCATATCCCTTTGATTATTCTGTGCCTAAGTTTACTTCTCTGTCAATATAAGCTCTACACTCACTTTCCACTATGCTTTTATTCTGGGGGTATCAGGGCTCTTTTCTTAGCTATCCTCCCTCAGATAGTCAAATAATTACTAAATCAGATATTTTTCATTTTCCCTTCTCAAAGAGAAAGCAATACTAATTCTTTTGCTCATTAAAGTGTAAATGGAGAGGAAGCCTGTTGAGTTCAGTAATACTATGAAACGTAAAAGCAGCATGTGAGGTCAGTCTTCCAACATGAATTACTAGTGCAAACAAAAGTGAGAAAAAAAGCCTGAATGGATCAAGAATCCCACTCCTGGGAATAGGTGAAGAAAAGAAGAAATAGAAATAGCACCTGGAAAATGTTGCTCTCATCAAAAGAGACCTCCTCCCCTGTAAATATCCCCTAACTCTAGTATTAATCAAATAGAAAATCACTTATTCTATGGAATCCTCTTTTACTTTGTGAAAATGCTCATAGTAAAACCTGGCCTTTATTTTTAACAATAATCAAAAAAGAAACTCTTGTTCCACCAGGAAATCATAGTTCCTTCAGCCAAGATCATCTAGTTTGAAGTCTGAGAAGGGCTGGCATAGCTCTGTAACAGCGTGTAAGGACAGCCCAAACATCTTCACATTCCCAGCCCAGATCTCTGCCACCACCAGGCCCGTTGGATGCTCCTGCTTGGCCTCTGGCTGCGCTTGCTGCCGGATCTGTGTGTGATGATGGTATCATGCCGAGCCCAGGGTGGCCTGCCAGTTCCCCGGGGACACAGGTACTGTGTAAAGAGGGGGTTTGGTGGGCAGCCTGCCTAACACTGAGAGGGAAACTGCTGCCTACCAAATACCCTTCCCTCTGCAACAGCGACACACATGAGCGCTCCTAAGCCCCCTTTGGCATATGCGTATGTAAACAGGTCCAAATGGCAGAGAAGACAACTGTGCGGAACAACACTGCTGCCAAAAAGGAAAATTGCATCGCTCAGGTAGCTGAGAGACCTCTGGCAGCAAAGAAAGGTTGTAAGAGTATGATCGTGTTAACATCCATCCCTCTGGCTGTCTGGGTGAACGATAAAGGTTGTAAACTTGCATCTTCTGCCTGAATATTGAAAATGTGGCAGCTACTGCTGTAATAAGAGATAATATTTTATTCTTTTAAAAGATCAGCAGAAGGGAAAAGTGAAACACAAGACTTACAAGCTGTCTGCATCCCATCCTTCATGGTGGCTTCAGCCCCTAAGTACTCACATTCCTGAGCACTGGGGAAATGCGAGGAGCTAATCATTTCCTCTGACTCAAAAGTGAAACAGCAGAACAGAAAACAAACCAAAAAACATGTTTCTAAGTTTCCCTGTTTCAATCTGCTTCTCAGCATGCGTGAAGCTTTTTTCATCAGAATCGTCATTTCTCATGATGATTCAGCTTAGGGCATTGAGTTGCATGATTCTGGAGGACTTCAAAAAATTTGAAGTCCTAGAAGTAGTCTGGAAGGAACTACAAAAGACGCTGTGTTTTTTGGGCTTTCTTTGCTGACCATTCAGATTTTCCAGCAGTGCTATGAGATAAACTTTTTATCTCTACATCACCATTTCACATCCAGCTCCAGAGCAGCTCACACCTTCAGTGGGACAATACCTGGGAAAGAGCTGAAGGAATGCTTTCACTTCAGATTTACTCCCTGCCCTCTCACTCTCCCCCTTCTGAAAAGGTAGCTCAGAGTTTCTGTACCAACTCACCAGGGAAATTAAGGTCTCCATCAGGATTGGTCATTTTACTGTGTCCAGCCATCCCACTCTCTTTTCCAAGATGCTCCAGTCCACGTTGATTCGCAGCCCAGCTGCCAGAATTGATTCTATTTTCTCACCCTTCTCCAGGAGATGTTTCAGCCTCCACAACACAACTCCCAGCTGGGTTTCACCGTGTTTGTGTCTCACCCTGGCAAAAGCTTCACACTTGCCATGCTCCTTTCACGGGGGCTGCAGAGATGACCATGGGTGTCTGCTTGTATCATTTGTGCTCTTTCATTATTACAATGTAGGAGAGGGGAAGGGCCAGAAGGTCATTCAATGGCACCTCCGGAACGTAGATCTCAGGATGCTCCCAGATGAAACAGCTGTGTGAAAACCCACCACTGCTGCTGACTTTACTGGTTTAAGGCTGTCTGGGTGTAGACACTAATCTGCCCTCCTGTTTCCAGAGGCAAGCTACCAGTGTAGCACATTAATAAGGCAATCAGGAGGAGGTGACAACTCTTCTGTACGTGTGGGACTTCAGTCTCCAATGGTTTCATTCCAGCACCTTTCCCCACTGCAAACATGGTGAAGATTCTTGTTCATGTTCTAAAGTCAGCATTAAATGGGATGTTTTAAGCTGAGAATATTTTCCCAGTTCTTGGAAAGGGTTAGAAACAGCCCTGAGCTGGGCAAAGTGTGTGTTTGCCATCAAACTAGGCAGCTGTGTTCATCTCGTCTTGGATTTCTTTATATGAGACGGGCTGATTTATAAAAGGAAATGCTGGGGCCACACAGGTTGTCAAGCCACTAGTCTAACCAGGTGTAATGACTGAGGTTTTGCAAGCAAGCTGCAGTTAAGGGAAAAAATAACAGATCATGGGTCAAACCCATCCCTGATGCACCTCTACTGTCTTCAGTGAGTTACCCCTGGGTGAATCTGGCCCCACGTTCCTCGTGAAATAAAGCAAGATCCCTTCTGCAGCATAATCAATTGGAAAAGGGAAAAGGAGGGGGAAAAAAAAAAAAGCTTCCTTCTAATCCACATTAAAAATAATCACTTTTTGTTGTACAATGGGGCAGAGAAATCCAGTCCTACTAGACACCAGAGTACAATTTCCTCAGCATGTCACAGGGGAAAAAAATAAAATAAAATGGCATAACTGAGGGGTCTCTCTCATCTCTGCTCAGCTCTAAACAATACAAGGAAGAGGGGAAAGCATAAATACATGTATCTATATAGGCATATATTTGTGCTTCTTGGATTGATTATATCACCAGTGTGGGATCTGGAGGTCCATAGGAGAAATTTTGCACAAATAGAGTGATTTAGAAATGAGGATTATATTCCTTCTGTTGATTAGACCTGTTGTTTAAAAATAGTAAAATAAATCTGTTATAAACGCCCGCTAGAGTTTTCACTGCTGTGTGGTGTTTTCTGTTTCAGCTTTTTCTTCCCTTTTGGCAGGTCTGTTGTGTACGTGAGCTCTACGGGAATGCAGAAAAGCCACCTGAGGGAGAAAATTGCTAATCACTAAAAATTACTAATCATTCTTTCACACTAAACAAATCCCACTGAGAGGTTTTTAGTTACACAAAGGTGGATTTTTTTTTTCTTTCCCCTTTTCCCTTTTTCCTCCAGCTAATGATACAGAGGTGCAAAACAGAGGATATCACATCCTACTATGCATTAGCTGCGGCATTTTCACATGATAAGATCTAGGTCTGAGTCCAAAATAAAAGCACAATAGCCTGAAAATCTTCTAATGCATGGCGCTAGCACTTTGCAACCAAAACGACAGGAAAGGGAATTCAGACAGTCACAGAATCACCTTTCCAAGGTTATTTGTATTCTAGTAGTGGTGAGGTCCCCTTGCTGAGACCATGACCCCTGTGCAGTTGCCCCCCTAGAAGAGTTTACAACCTAAACAGATGAGGCAGAAGGTTGGATGAAAAAGACATAATTTGATCTGCAATTCTTACAGGTCACTCGGGGAGTAAGTGCTTGTCTCAAGGTTACATTTAGACATCTGTAGTAGAACTAGGTGCTAAACCTGCTTCTTCTGAGTCCCTGTGTCCTAACCAGAGGAGTCTTCTCCTTCCCAGCTCCCCTCTCCCAGGCCCACTCCCTTTGTCTTAAAAAGACTTTTGCTGGAGCATCATTCCCAGAAATATGAAGCCATTCTTGAGTTAATCCCAGCATGGTTCAGGTTGACAGGGACGTGAGGATGGAGGTCATCTTGTCCAAGCAAGACCACGTAGAGCCGGTTGCCCACAACCATGTCCAGATAATCTTCCCATTATACTTCAACAAATCCATTCCTTCTAAAAGTGCTCATTTGCCTTTGCTAATTATGCTCAGAACATTTTACCAGCTGAAGTTTCTCTGGGGTTGGCATGAGAAAGTGGGCAGCAGCAGGTGTATGCCATGTGAAAAGTTTGGGTACCTTCTCTACAGGGGCATCCTGCTCCCACAGTCCTCATGTGAGGTGTCTGGCCAAGTGAACTACATAGAAATTGTTGACAGCTGACAGCAGTGTTTTCTGGGGAGTTTCCAGAGGTGTATGCATTCCTAGATACCCGTCTGAAACTGTGGGGCAGAGAATTCACCATAAAAGAAAAAAATGAGTGGCATCCCTGTCTATATTTAGTTATGGAATTAATATATATTAATTTATATATATATATGTACCTTTGCTTGCTTACCTCCACTTCAGACCTCGCAGCACAATTAAGCACCTTCTGCTGCTGAGAAAATGGCATGTTTTGTTTTCATTCCTTCAGCCTCTTTGGAAAATGCCGCAAGCTTTGGATTTTCCATCAGGCGTGGGGTGGCCAGGATTTCCCCGGGCTCAGCCGCTACGCCACAGCCCCGCAGGTGTGATCCCCCGGCAATGCAGCATTCCTGTTTCTCACTTGAGCAGAAAGAAAACTCAGGCAACAAAATCACCTTGTTTTCAGTCCATCATCAACAAGTTCATTCTGCCATGCTCCACCACTTCAGAGGGCCTGTTTAATTAATTTTGACACATTTCTTGCAGTTTGATTCTTTGGATCAAATTTAGGGCTTCTGTAAGTCAGCTGATCCCAGGTTCATACTACTTGAAAGAGATTTTTTTTTCCACCCCTGTTCCCTTTGTGTTTTTTTGTTGATGTTTCATTTTTTCCCATATCTTTGAACATAGTAGACATAATCTAAACTAAACAGAGGTGCAATATGTTTTCTGTCATTGCTGTAAACTGGTCTGAAGCTCACCTTTTTGTGTCAGCTCTGACTATTCAGGTTGCAAATCATGAGACCCTCTCTAGAGTATTTTTTACTGCACTCATAAAGAAATAATGCAAAACTAAGAACTGTTCCTAAAGAAAGGATATCACGAAGCACTAGTGATGTCTGGTTACAGGTCTGCTCCTAATCTCTTCCCTGGTCAGAACAAAGTAGGACAGTGCTCTTAAAATACATCTATTTTATAACCAGATCCAGACTAGCTGCTGCTTTGCTGCAGTGATGAGCAGTTTTATTTAAATGCTGTGGCTGACTTTAGGATTAATACTGCATGGGAAGCACCTGTGAGGAGCCAGCACTGCTCAGCTCCATGGCCATCCTGGGAGTGCAGCCCCCGTGGGGACCATGGGAGTGGGCACTGCCACTTGCTGTTCCTGCAGATTTATTTGGTTTATGGCTTCTCAATCACTAAATATATTGTTTGAAATATTTTTCTTTAGAGAAAGCATGCTGGTATTTTCTGAAGCAGAACATGGCATTACTTAAATTTCATGTTTTTACATAATATTTTTGAGCTCACATAATTCACTGAATTCCACCTAAAATAATAGTTTCAGTACCTCAAAAACACCATTTGTTGGTCAGTTTTAGCCTTCCTCAGAAAGACTTATTTTTGCTTTGCTCCTTTCCCCAGGGGTCAAGGCGGGTTCCAGTGGAGCCTCCATGGAGCATCCTTGGCATGAGAGGCCAGTGATGGCAACAAGCTTTCTCCACCACAAAGCAGAAGAGAGGTGATCCTCCTCCCTGTGCTGAAGGATGAAACACCTTGGGTGTTTCAGCCCAAAAAGGGAGATCTCCATTGGTGTCTTCTACCATGTGTTGACCTCTGCATCCCTCAGTGCTACTGAGATCTTCTGTGCACCCCACAGGCCTGGGGGAGATTGGTGGTGTGGCCGGAGAGATAAATCCCCTTCAGAGGAGCAGCATCTTTTGTTACAACATGAGTGATAAAATGAACTGTTCAGCTGTTAAAGTACTTTTATACCATGATAACTGCAGCCACCCAAGGGTTTGTAAGCCAGAGCTACACAACATAACAAGAAAACCCAGCTATATTTAAGCTGGCATTGGACCACCACATGCACTAATCTCACACAGTTGCAAGGGTGAAAAGTCAACAGCTATTTGCGAGGAATCTTTATAAACGCTGCTGACATCCTTGCACTAAGAGTACATTGGGTCAATATACAAATTTAGGTATCTCTAAATAAAACATACGTTCATGTGGCTTTTGGGTCAAACTTAAAGGGCATTTACCTCTGATAGGCACCAGCTGTTATTTTCCTGCAGACTTCTGGGACTCCAGAAGCACAGACAGCCAGAAAGTCTGAATTTAAGATGAGGAGGATTAAAGAAGATCCACAACAGTAAATTAAGTGCTGCAAAGATGCCATTTTGTGGTGAAGTCATGCCACTACCATTACCAACTAGCCATAGCATAGGTACTGGCATCAGAAGGAGACCACAACATTGCCATCAGGTGGGTTAGTAGTAATTATAAGGTACTTCTTCAGTCTAAGGAAAATACACTGCAGATTACTCACTGGCACCCAAAATGGCATAATTAATTGGAGCAATTTATTAAGACAAATAAAGGGTCATAGCTAAGCAGGGTACTTACAGTTAATTTATAGTTAACTAGGGCACTCATTTACCCTGCTCACATCCACCTAGAAGCTTTGTGAGAGGATTTCATCATGCCTTTGAGAAGTGCAGATGCTGGGTCTTCTCTCATGCTATGTGACCTTGCCACCATTAATGTGTTTGCTGTAGGAAAAAGACTGTTTTCTCTTGCCCAGGTATGGTTTAAATGGTCTTTCTCAACTCAGTATTTCTTCAGCTAACTGTCTAACAACTAAAGCACAGTAAAAATATACCTTATTTTCTCATGTCTTGTATTTGCTGAATCTTTCCTATGTCCATAATCAGGGCTGATCGTCAACTAGTTTGTAAGAGATTTATCATGAGATCGTGATCATACATTGTTTTCATAAAACTCATACCGAAGTCCACATGGGCTCTTTTATCATTGATAAAACGATTAGCAAACAGTCCCAGCTCAGTTCAAAAGAGTTATTATAAACCAAGACAAAATATTTTCTCAGGGAATTGTGCTGATTGAAGTTTATATGCAGCTTCTGTCTCCTCATTGCACCACGATACCTGTAAATTGGGTGGAGAGCACTTTGAGCTGAGTCTTTTAATTTCTCTGTTAGAAATGACATGGGGGCTGCTACTGGTCTCTTTTCACGGAGGTTGACCTACAGCCCCCGCTTCCAAGCCCTTATCATGTAAACCCAATGCAACTGTCTTAATTGTTACACTTAATTGTTATACTTTGGTTTTGTGAAAGGGGGGTTGGGGGAATCCTGAAACTTTGTACATATCCAATTTGTATTTCTGCTCAATTTTGTTTATTGCCTGCTCTTTGTAAGCTCCTTTTATCGACAGTTTTTTTCTTATTATATGTTCATGCTAACTGGGATTGCAATGCACTGAAATCTCCTAATGTTCTGGTTTTTTATACCACTGGTCACTCTGCCCTAACCCTAGATGTATGCACTGAATAGCCACATTGTTCGTTTATAATGTCCTTGGCTTTTCTATAGCCTTGTCCCTGTGATATTACTTGTGGACACAGTGGGCTGGATTGAAGACAGTGAAGTTAAAAGTGGTGATGTATGCAGCTATGTAACTGTGAGAAGAAATGTATTGATTCCACATACTTCCTTTTCTAACCTGCTGTAAGGTGTTTCATCATGCAGGACATCATGGAGATCTTATATTTATTACTTAACATACATTGAAAGGTTTGACTTCTCTTTCTTGCTGGCTTTCTGAATGGAAAAAGCTGTTGTTAACATGTCTTGTGTGTCAGAGATCAGGCTGTTCATGACAGCTTATGAAGCTTTGAACATATATAGTAATAGAGAGGAATGGCAAACTGTTATATTAATGTAGCTGAAGCACAAAAAGTGAAACTATTGACCTTGCTAGCTCTGCATTTGGGGCAAATGTTACTGCAGTGAATAGAGTAACTTTAACTAGCCTCAAACAGAAGTTGTTTTTAATTTTTTTTCATATGTTTTGCTCTGGTCTAGATAAATGTGAATGCCTAAGAAGGGCTGGGCAAAAGACTAAAAATAGATGCAATTTTACAAATGTCAGGATTTTCTTTTTTTTTATTTGTGTGTGTGTGTGTGTGTGTGTGAGTGAAAACTTGCCTTTTGGACAAAGAGGCCAATAATGAAATAGAAGCAAAAATTATTTCCATGGGTTGGTAAATCAGTTTAAAGCTTCTATTACTCTAATTTCCTTTTCTGGAATATTAACCTTTCAAAGCAGGCAAACAAAAAGCCTTTACCATCTCTCTTGCAAGGCATGGCACCAGTTCATTGAATGGAACCGGTAGGTATGGAATAGGTGCACATCCAGCACACCTTTAATACAAGGCAGCTCTTGACCTCTTTGAGACAAAAGGCCCTGCAAGTTGCAGTGCCTGGTTCCTGGAATATGCAAAAGACACTGCAAAAACATATGGCAAGAGATATTAATGTGTTCTCAGGTACAGATGAGCTACAGGAAGAAGCAGATTGCCCAGCTGCTTTCCATTCTTTTCCCCTAAATCCAATATAAAAATCATCCTGGCAGGACAATGTATGGGAAGACAAGGCTTGTTGAGGGATGCTGTCCAGGCTCAGGCATGCTATCTGCCTGTCCAAGGCCCTGTTCCATGGAGGTGATTCCTGCCCCACAGCTCACTTGCACAGCCGTTCCTCTGCATGCAGCAATGCATTTGCTTGTGCAGCTGCTGCCCCAGCAGTGGGTAAATGCACCAGGGGCGGAGGTGCCCAGGCACTGTGCTCCAGCGTGGGTTTGTGTGGCTTGCATCACTCAGTGCCACCAAGAAAAACTGCCCTCTGCCCTTCCCACAAAGGAAAGCCCTCACATGGGAGCACAGCACTGTCCCCCAATCCCACACCGAGCCTCTTGAAGCAGCCTCCTTTCACCCTGCCGGTGCGCGGCTTCCTCGGGTGCCACAGAGCAGGGAGCGTGCTGGGGAAGCCCGTGCCGTGGCCATTAGTGCTGCACTGGCAGCAGCCTCTGCGGATAACGAGAAGCCCTTCTGCCTCGCTGCTATTAAACCGCTGCCTTTTCACGAGAGGAATCCTGAATTCTTCCTCAAACCTAAACAAAAAAGTGAGCCTTTTATTCGTTTCATCATTATCTAGGGCTGCCACATTCAAATGATTCTCCAGCAGTCCCTTCATTTCCGAGTGCACACGTCGAGAAGGGATTGGAAGCCTTTTGATTAAGAATAAGAGGTGATGACACTACAACCAGTGCAGGGTTGTCATCATTACCATGTACCTGCACTTCCACAGAGCTCTCGCTCTGGGTTGCCTCTGATATAAAGCTGCTGTACTCTGTGCCCTAATTGAATGGAACTATTTCATAAACACGCGTTCCCCGAATCCCAGAAAAGATCCTTTTAGAGGGGAAGATATGGGGAGGGTGGTGGGGAGGTGGGGAGCTAGATGGGCTCAGTTCCTGGCAGACCAATTTTGTCTGTGAGAGAGATTTCTTTGTTCCCTGCAAAACTGCTTGTCGTCTACAAGTGGATTTTTTTTCCCTCTCCTCTTCTCTCCTCTCCCCCTCTTCTACAAGTCAAATGAATGATCTGACCACCCACTTTTAATCTTGTGATTTTCTGCTTTTGGCCTGGATTACAAGTCACCTATGGCCACCTCCAGTGCATACATAGCTGGCTGCAAGTTTACACAAGACACCTTAGGGAAAACATCCATTCTTCCTGCTACTGGCTGTTAGTGCCTGATACTTTACCACTCTGACTTGGTCACAGCTATGACTTTTAGGTAAGAGGACAGGGAAGAGACCTGCCATTTACCCGCCAGGATGCTCTCATCTCTCTCATGAGACTATATTCATGTGTAGGTCCTAAACAGTGGGAGCAGCACTCTGCAGATGACTTGTTAAGCATTGTCCCTACCATCAAGCACGCTGTGATTGTGCTCTGGAATCTTTACTGGAGATTTACTGTTTTCCAGAGAAACATTTAAGTCCTGATTTTGACCCATATTTCCCTCCTGGATATTTCCCTATTCTCATGCAATATAACTGCAGCTGTAGTGGACAGCGGTGCTGTGCCTGAGCCCCAGAGGTTGCAGGAGCTGTGCTGGGCTGGTTCTTCCTTGGAAACTGGTCCCCCAGTTGCAGATCAATAGCTAGAATAATCCTCTGCTACCCGTGTATTTAAACGTGAAGGGCTTTTATTGTTAAACAGTCTTTCCCAGAGCCTACATTTTAGTGAGAATACTCTGAAACTGCTATATGAAGTTGTATTAATAGACAACAAAATTACAGCCAATTCCTGGCACTATTTCAATAGCTATGTATGAAATTTACTGCATAAGGGATGTTGAGTTAAAAGTGGTCAGAGGAGTTACTTTTATCTTGGCTTACATATAGCATTACATTTACACCTGAACACAGGGTGAATTATCATCCAGAGGAGTTGAGAAGGAATCTCTTTTCTCCAGGAATGGCAATTATATTTGATTAGGTACATGGGAGCTTTTTCCTCTCCTGGCCAAGGAGCCGAGGGCAGTGCTTTGAAGACACCCAGCCTCATGATCAAGGTGTAAAGCATAATGACAAATGTGAAGTTCCTGCAGGGTCAGAGTCAGCTACAATAGTTCAGGGGAGAGGGCATCGGACTGGGACTTAAGAGGCTTGACTCGACTGCCCTGTTCTTCCACTGGGCTGCAGGACAAATCGCTTCCTTTCTGTGCCACAGTTTCCTTATCTGTGAAATGGTGGTAATGAGCCTTTCTTCTTCATTTCTCTTTGTAATCGCTCCAAGAGCTGCAGGTAAAACACGCCATACAAGCACTTGGTATTACTGTGTTTGATTTCTGGGATTTTTGTGTGTGATATCCTAATGCAAGGAGCTTCTTCAGATTTGCACACATAAGCTCAAGGGCTGTGGTGTTTGTCATCCTGCTGCTAACAGCTCTTCCCTGAAATCATTTGGATGTGCAGGCAGTACTCTGCTTTTGTTTTTGTTAGGATATCTGCAGCCTGTAATCTTAGTGTAACAGGATTTGCCAGTCAAGCATAGCCCTCGAACAAAAGCACCCAGAGGATGTGCCTTTTTAGATGCTCTCCTTTGCACAACCAACCCCCTGTCCCTTTGCCTCTGGTTTCTGCTGGTCCCCTGTCAAGAGGCCTCCATGCCTGTGGTCATCAAGAGTTTGCCAACATGAGGAGGAGGGGGAGGAGGGAAAAAAAATCCCCTTGACATGTGTAGTAATCTAAGCCTCATTCCAAAGGTGTTTGCTTAAGCATTGCTAAGGGTTCCTCCTTCCCATCCCCATCACTTCTCCCCTCAGCGTGTCTTTGTTTCAAGATGGGAGGCTGCTGGAGAGGTGGGGGCATTCTGTGGCTATGCCTGGTGTGATCTGGGGGCTCTTTGTTTGACAACACGTGCAGGGTCCTGCTCACCATCTCCCCTTGCTAATGAAACACATGGGGAAGAAGAGTCCTGATCGTGAGGTGATAGCTCCCTGAGTGTCAGAGGAGGCGGGGTGAGCATGATGCTCTTTAGTTGGGGTCATTTGAAGTGATAGATGCAGGAGGATGGTACGTTGGTTCCTGCTGAAATCTGAGAAGCTGCCTGTGTTGGGGAATGTCACCCAGCGCTCAGCAAATGCATTCAGATGAAACCGCTGAAATCTTGGGTTTCAGGCCTAAGTGACCACTACAGGCACTAGTAGTTCCTGCCTGTGGAATAAACATTTACTGAACACACTTCAGCATAATAACACTTTGTGCAGCAAGCAATCTCTCACCACCCTCTGCCTCTTCTCACTGTTGTGACAATCCAAACGCTACCCGGACCACAAATATGTCACTCTCTCCTAGAAGTGTTTTACTAATAAATAGCTTAACTTCACTTCCCTTGACCAGAAGTCAGGGTGCGATACTTGTTTTTGTATTTGAGTTTGCCATGCTGTTTTTCCCTGTCTGTTCCCTGATGTTGGAGTGCAGGGCACTAATGGGAGATGCAGGATCTGCAGCCTTTCCTCTAACAAAGTATGCAGCTAGTGCTCAGTGATATCAGTGACCTCCACTATAAAATCACTTTGTCCAAGGCCATACGTTTCCTCCCCATCTCCACCTCTCCAGCTCATCTGCTGAGCATTATTAGAAGTTTGGCATAGTATCTGTGCAAAGTAGATCATTTATACACTGCTGTGAGATATCGTGCAGGTACAATGAGTTTTTTTAGTGGTAGATCAATTTTTTCAGAAGGGATGCTAGTCTGATGGTACTTTTTTCTGGACAGAAAGAATCACCTGCAGAGTGAGGACCAGAGCCGAGCCTCTTGACTCCTGGTCCAGTGTGTCACCTGCAATGGACCACCATAACACTACAACTTATTTATGCGAGAGGATTACTCGCAGTAAGGGGTGAAGGCATTTTCTTTGTGAAAGGGAAATAGCACCTGTAAAACATGTATAGAAAAGTCTGGGTATTAGACAATATTATGACTTCAAGATTGTGAAGACTGCAAAAATGGAGAAGTGTTTCTCTTGCATTTCTGCAGATGTTTCTGCAGTATAATTCTGGAATCAAATTTCTCCTCCTGTTTTCAGAATGTATTGAGCCAACCCTGAAATTAGGGATGTGTCAACTGGAAATTAGGAAGCATTTGACTTTGACACTAAAATTAATTAAACTGTTATTACATTGATCTTTCCAGCATCTGTTCCACTTGTATGCAGAAATGCTAGTGTGCGTTATGGGGCCATTTTATACTGGTGGAATTGGATGCTGTGATCAGCCATATGCTGATAAAATTATTCTTTTGTCAGCATGTCTGCCTGGAATTGCTTCAGGAGCTGGAAACATTCAAAGCAACAATGCTCAGTGCTGAGTGCTTAAGATTGTTGATGTGAAAGGGACTTTTAGTCTAGTTCCATATCCTATGTACAATTCATATATAGAGATTGGCAAACCTCTTCCTCTGTGAGTATCTAAACGTGGGCTTTAAGAGCACTTGTGTTTTGAGACCAACTTTGTCTACTGAATGGAGAATCCATTCATCTAGTCCAGTTGAGCCCAGTAGCTCTGCTGTC